AAAGTAGCTGGAAAATATCTCAAATATTGCAATTTAATACTGAAAAGATATTTTTATCCCTTAAAATATCTCTTTGCTATATGACATTAGTTATATGTGTTTGTATATGTTACACAGTAGTTCTCACATACTTGGAGACGCTGCTTCTACTCACTACTGATGGATTATAACATTAAAAAAATAAAAATAAAAAAATACACATGGACAAGGAAAACTAATTAATAATGCTATCCCATGCAACTATGAAATGACAGGCTGGTACAAAAATATTTATCTTGGCCTAAGTATTCTGTGCATTAGCAAAGTCAGCAGTGAAAAAACTTGAAACATTCATAAGACACAAAAAACAATACAAAAAGAACTTTAATAAACCTTAGAACAACAATGAAAAAAACCCTAGTTCTATAGCCATACCCAAAAAGCACAGCAAAACAAAGACAGTTTTTTAATCAAAGTGTCTTAAATACAGCAGCCCAAGCTCTCTGGAACACAATTTCAAATTATGAAAATAATTCAGGAGCAATGTTAGAGTAAAGTCTACATTCCCTGGAAGTCAGTAAAAAAGGCTGACAGAAAAGATTGGCTGTAGATAAACAGTCCTCATTCTCCTCCCTCCTCTCTCTCTCTAGGTCAGACTGCAGACACAAGTTCTTTCTGTATAGTGTTAGTTTCCACTCTGGAAAGACCCTGAGTGCACAGCCCAGTTTCCACCTGGATAACTGGACACCCATTCTCTCTCAGTGTGTTCAGAGACAAAACCCACTACCAAGAGATGGCCCAAGCATCCTGCTTTGGTACTGCTTCTGCTAACCAATGGGAAAATAAAACAGGGCCAATACTTCATATTTGTCCTTTCATGACTGCCAGTTGCCCTGAAATCATACAGAGGATTTACTGATGGTTGTGCAGGGACAAAACAGCTGCTAGGAATAAAACACAACGTCTTGACAGTACCTCATCAGAACTGCTGAAACCAGAGCTCCTCAGCAAAGCTCACAGTCACCTGAAAAGCTCCAGAAACTAATCATTTAATATAAAATCAATCCTTATCATCACCCATAAATACCTGTTTATGGCAAACTTGTAGAAAGAAAAATATTTAACACTAATCTCTTTTAAACTCTCAACACTCCTAGGTCTACCAGATTAGGGAAAATTGCTGAAGACAACTAGTGAAACTCAAGACTCGGAATTTTAGTTTTGCTATTCCCTGCTTTGCAATGCTACACGTTGTCCAAGATTTCCTAACAGAAGTGCTATTCAGAACTCAACACCATGCATGCCAGGGAACCATCATGCTAATAATGGAATAAAAATAAGTGATATTTTGCCACTACAATTATCCATCCAGAGGCAATTGTTCCACATAGTTTGAGGAAGAGTCTTTCCTGACAAGACTGACTTTCATCTGAGCACCTCCACTGCTACCATAAAGTAAGCTAATGTAGTAGTTAATTATAAAGTGTATAATTAACAGCAGTATATTGCCTGCCATCTGCAACAGACATGCAATGCTGAAGAAGTATAGTTTTGTAGTGCTACATACAAAAGATTTTCATTCTAAACTAGAATTAATAACAACTACTTCCATAAAAAAAATTTATATTTTTAATTTAGTTTGCTGAATGAGCCAAAATTGTTTGCAATATAAAGTATTGTCTTTGTCCAGAAAGCCTCTCACAATATGTAGGCTTTTTATAATAATGAAAGCCCCACTTAAGGAAAAAAATCAATTTCAAGTCCTGCAATTTAGCCAAAGCCATCCCAGGACCCCACTCCACACAATATTCAAAGTTCAGGCTTGTTTTACTTTTGTGTCTCCTTGGAATACTGTTCACCAATGGCAGCTCCCCTAGCCTTCCACTTTATATACTAAGCAAAACCACATTGTTATACATAAAGTTTCTCTGCCCAGGAAAGAAAGAGCCCTCTTATAACTGTAAATGCAATCCCCTAAAATACAGCACTGAACATGACACAGCACATTTTGAAAAAACTTACTAATAAATTGATGACACAAAGAAAGCGCTGTACAATCAGCTGTAGAAAAACCCTGCATAAACAACCTAACAGTAGACATTTGTTCTCCACTCAAAGACCACTCTACTGTATTTCACAATACTTTTTCTTTTACTAGCTTTCCTTACAGAACTCTGCTATATATTCTGATTTGACATCGCTGCTCATGTAAAAAATATTAAACTACTACTTACTAACAGTTGAAGTTCACAGAAAAAACCATTAAAGTTAAAAAATGAAAATACTCAACAAACCACTTTCAACTTAAGATAGGTTATTTTTGTAATGAAATTTTCTGAAATATTCAAGTTCATGTGACTTGTAACTTCAAAACTATTATGGAGTTGAGAGGAAACATTAACCATGCAAAAGTATGCAAAACCCCCTCAATTTCAGTACACCTTAGTACTGAACACTTAGTCCAAGGCATTATGAAAGTATGCAGCGTGTGCTAGAAATCTACAACAGTTTTTTGCACATTGCATTGAATTCAAGATATTAAAATAATATAAAAAAAGAAAAACAGCTTATTTCAGAGGCTGAAAAAGTACAAGAAATAGGCTAATATTTGTTCAATCGTGGTGATTTCAGCAATCTGTTTTCAATCAGTTTTCGAAGTGGAAAAACTTTTCATGGCACATCTGTACCTCCCTGTTTTTAACTAGAGCTTCAGCAATACATCTTCTGTGAAAACAGAAGTGATTGTTGAAGAGATTGTGGCTCAACAACTCAGCAAAAAATTGAATAATGGCTTTGAATTGCTAAAGTCTTTCACTGGATTGATGAAGATTCTGCAGCCCACAGCTGCAGCAAGCTGACAGTAATAAATTCTCCATGCACTGCAAACTAAGGCTCTAACTATTTCATCCATTTCTAAGTATGCGAAAGCTGGAGGCAAAGCCATTTTACAACTGAATAAATACTTGCTTCTTTCCTTATGGCCTCTAACAGAGGTAGTAGTGTAAGGCCAAACAAGAATAGAACTCCCTGGAGATGCCTGCTGTGAGGAACGTCATAGCATTTCTTCAAGAAATTTCAAAACAATAGCTTAAGGGCAACTTTTTCCATTAGAAATCAAATTATTTTGAAAGAGTCAATATTTATAATAAAGGCCAAAGTACAACACATGAATTGAATTACTCATTTTTCAATCCAAATGTACAATACTCAAGTTGAAAATACTTTCCAAAATCTCACATTCATTGTCTGCAAAGACAAACAAAACTTGAGTTTTCTTTGTTGTTATGCCAAGTAAATACATCTTTATGCTAATACAATGTGGAATTTATGGTATATAGGTACAATTATAACAGGACAGACAAGTCTGGGGTTTTTTCTTTCCACACATGCCATAAATCCAAATAAAATTTAGATAGTTAACTTAAACAAGGTCATAAGCCTGACTTATTACACATCTTATCTTTGTCATACTTTCTTGAAGAATAATCCAAAGTTTCTTTAGAACAGCTATGCAGTGCTGAGTAACAATTCTTACGCTACTTACAAATGGCAGCTTCTCTCCTGCCCAGTAACTACTTGCCAATTTCAAAATCATCTGGTTTATATTACTGAAAACTCCTAGCTTTCTGAAAAACGTTTCCTGAGCTGCTTCTCCACCAAAATAACAAGCGTATTTATGTATCCTCTATTTCAGTTATTGATTATTTCACAATATGTAAATAGGTTTTAGAAACTTATCCTACTAAACCAAGAAATCTGACATGACAGGATTCCTGTCAGACAATCCTAGCAGCCAATCCAATGCACAACAATGAGTGCATTAATTCTAGAAACCTAAACAATAAGAAAAAATAGTGGAAATCACAGATGAGCTTCACAGAAGAAAAGAGAGGTACTTGGCTTTTCACACAAGTGAAAGGAAAGGGCATTTTCAACTTTAAGCAAGAACCTTCTGTGTGCATAATGTAGAACTCAGAATTTGTGAATATGGGCTTTGATTAGGAAAAAGGGTTTCCTTGCACACAACTGATAGGAATAGACAAAAGTTTATCACTGGCCTAAGTAAGATTCATTATGGATCCCTAAATAAGGATAGATTCAAAAAAACTTTCAGTCATTGGAGACTTCTTACTAGAACATTTGCAACTCTCAGAGCCATAAGTGAAGCCCAGAGGATGCACTGTCTGTGCAACCACAGAGGATGTGACATCAAATGTTGCATTTACTCCTTTTGATTCAAAGCATTCCATACAAAGATGAAGAAGCTGCTACACCAGAATTACCTGAGTGTTTTTAATGTACATTTCAGTCCTTCAAAATGGTACACAAACAGAACAAACATTACCTGTGCCTTCACAATGAATACTGGCATAATTTGAAATCTGTATTTTTGAAACACAGGTAAAATTTAGATATAAAGAATGAATACTAAGATACAATAAAGCTATCATAACTAACATACATGCAAGAGCTTTAGGCAGATACTGGCCCTAGATAGTGTACTGCAGGAAAAACTTAGTATTTGATTGAATCCATGTTACACTTCAAATATCCTACTGAAGTTAAAAGCTGATAAGTTTTGAATGGGTCTCAGAAAGACCCCAGGATGTCTCCACTAAATCAACTACCAGCAAAATCAATGTATTGCTGAATAGGGTTTAAGAATCCTTGGGAGGCTCAATAAGTTTTCATAGCTGAATGAAAAAGGTTTCCATCACCTTCTTTAAGAAATTAGAAATAAAGTAAAATGAACAAATTTTACCATTTCCACATCACCTCCAAAAGAACCACGCACAGAACTTCACTTGAACAATACAAAACCAAAAATAAAATACACCTTAAAAGACTGCATTTTGCAAATAGATGTGCACACCATAACAAAAGCATGGCTTTCTACCACAGAGTCACAGCTATGACTACTAATAAGAACAGAGTCATATTGTACCCCAATTATTATGTGTGAAGGTAAGCCCAGATATGCTTCAGTGGCTGACTTTTATTGTAGGGATAAAATTTCTTACCTTGAAAAGACTGCTTGGCTCTGTCCACCAGTTCTTCAATAGGATAACTTGCTAGATCTCCTCTGGCGTGCTTAGTTTTACAGTAGGTACATGCATTGAGACACCTGTTCAGAAAATCAAAATTCTCAGTTGCTAACCAGGAAAGCCTTTATAGGCACAGTTGTATTTATTAAGTACCTCTGGAAAAATGAGTTTTTATATCTATGACCAGAAAATAGTAGTATTTTGCTTTTAAATCAATGGAATAGTTTTAAAACTGTTTTGCTGTCCTAACTTCTTAAAGGATCTTTCACATCTATATGAAATTTGGAAAAAAAATCAGTGGGAACCACATACAACACTAAGAGTAGGAATTTAAATATTTTTAGAAAAGTATAATCAGGTTAATAATTTTTTATTACTAAAAATCAATCTCCAGGTTTCCGATCCCTCTATTACATAAAAAATCCAACCTGAACAAGAAAGTAAATGAAATAAGTCCCAAAAGGTTGAAAGTGGATTTCTAGAAGTGCGTATCCTTGAAAAGCCATTTCCATTAATTTTTTTAACTTTCCTTTGGCTTGTATAAATAGAACAAACAACATAATGAAGACAGAATCACCAACTAGAAAAGAGAGTTTGGCACAAAAGACTGCAGAACTAATGAAAACTCATACAAGAAAGTGAAGAAATCATATGATTGCTTCTAATTTACCTGACAATATATTAAAGGCAGACTTATTCAGAGTACAAGGATGGAAAGACCAAAACAAACAAAAACTACCTCTCATCGTAAGCCTGTTATGCTTTTCTTCCCTTCTCCCCTTTTTTAGAGCTGATATTGCTCTAGGATTTTTCAGGTTAAAGCATTTAAACCTAAGCCCTAAAAACCTCACAGACCCCAAAAAACTCTTTAAATATTTCTACTGTTCATGCTTACTAGAAGACCATAAATTCTGTCCAGGCCACAGCTTCATAAAATCATACAATCTTTAAGGCTGGAAGAGACCTCCAAGATCATCAAGTCCAACATTTGACTGATCACCACTGTATCAAATAAACCACAGCACTAAATGCTACATTCATCTCTTGAACACTTCCAAGAATGGTGACTCTACCACTTCCCAGGGCAACCTGCTTCAATGCCTGGCCACACTTTCTGATGTCTGCTCTTCCTGATGTCCATCTTCAACCTCCCCTGGCATAGCTTGAGGCCTTTTCCTCTTGCCCTGTCACTGGTTTCCTGGCAAGTGACCCCCACTTGGCTACACTCTCAGGCATCTCTAGAGGGTGATAAGGTCTTCCCAGAGCCTCCTTTTCTCCAGGCTGAAACCCCCAGCTCCCTCAGCTGCTCCTCACCATGCTTGTGCTCCTGATCCCCTTCTCTGGACACAAACCAGCCCCTCAATCTCCTCCTTGCAGTGAGAGGTCCACAACTGAACACAGGATTTGAGGTGTGGCCTCACCAGTGCTGAGTACAGAGGGACAATCCCTGCCCTGGTCCTGCTGGCCACACTATTGCTGATACAGGCCAGGGCCATTGGCCTTCTTGGCCACCTGGGCACTGCTGGCTCCTGTTCAGCCACTGTGAACCAGCATCCCCAGGTGCTTTTCCACAAGACAGTGTTCTGTCCACTCTTCCCCCAGCCTGTAGCACTGCAAGGGGTTCTTGCAATCCAAGTGCAGGACCCAGCATTTGGCCTTTCTGAAATTCCTAAGGATGGCCTTGACCCACCAACCCAGCCTGTTCAGCTCCCTCTGCAGACCCTTCCTACCCTCCAGCAGATCTACACCCCAGCCCAACTTTACCATCATCTGCAGACTTACTGAGGATGCACTTGATCCCCTCATCAATAGAGATATTAAACAGGACAAGAAAACATTTAGGTACCAGAAAAGGCAAATGTTCCAATTACAGCATAGTTGGAACTAATACCAGAGTACTTTCAAAACAATATCAAAAAGGAAAAGATAGCACAGGGCAGGTTTTGATGAAGTCACCAGCTCCAAGACTGCGTTTACTACTTAGATGTATTTTGTCTTCTATTAGGATGTCTGGCATCTCCATGACTAGCTGATTAGTGCTTTGCAAACTCCAAAGGTTTTTCTTTACAAAGACTCCACTCATGTTAGTTCTGCTGCTTTTGCATAAGCAGGGGTTCAGGAAGGGCAGAACACTGCCCAGAATTTGTTCAGCTGCCCTCCTGACACTGCACATCCCCTCAGCCCCGAGACCTCCATTCAACAGAATCCTAAGTTCTAGAAGAAGATTTAGGTAGTTTGTGATTCTCTCTGGATATGTATATTATTTGTTGTGCCTACCAGATCAAAACATCAGATTTTAGCATTCACTCCAGATCAGAAAACTAAAAGATACTGCTTAACAGCAGCAATCAGACTGTTCTATTAACTAAAAATGTATATGAAAAAGGTTGCCAGTAGAATATCCAACAGGGTATTAAAAAAAGAAAAAATCCCTAAATCTGAATATTTACAACCTGTTCCAAATAAGTGACTCATTGCCACCCAAAGGCAACTTATTCATCAGATGTATCTCCCCTTTCTCCTGCAAATCAAAAGCTTTCCATTGCACAGGATCTGAAGCATGTGTAAAAGGTAGCACTTGAAATCAAGAAAGTGTAAGCAGAAAATTGGTTTATACTTTGTCTGTGTAACCTATGTAGCAAATGAAAATGTTTTTCTTCTAGGTTACTGTCATCTAAAGTTTGTCATGAATGGCTTTCCCTCAAAGCCCATGGGTATTTCTTCCCCTCCATGCTCCCCTTACACAAAGCATGCCTCCCTCCTTTTTTTTTCTTTTCTTGATTTTCTTTTTTGTTAGTTTGTTTTTAAAGCACAACTATCCATTCAAGCCAACACTTCATTTCTAAGTATGTTCCCATCACAACATACCACTGTCACACTCCTCTCCCTCCACATCATTCATTCAGCAAACCAGCCTCTTTCCACACAGCTACACAGAGAAAAAACATTACAGAACAGTCAAGGAAACATAAAATCAGTTTCAGAACAAATATATCTGCCCTTTTGGAAGCAAAACAAAAAAGGTGTGATATTATGTACTAACCTTTGTACTATACTAACTTTTGTTTTCTCCAAGAAAATAAAATTACCTGCTATTTTGTCAAACTTCTCGGGTCAAGAAGAAATTTTACTACAACTATCCTGCCCCTTGAACAGCAGGTTACTTTAACACTGGCTTTTTCAATCACAGAAGAGAATTCTGTCTGCCATCAGTAACAAAGGGATGCACCAAGATTTTTTCTCTTGGGATAAAGTAAATTTATTGGGCTCAAATTGAAGCTCAGCTTTGGATAAAAAACAACAACAAATGAGAAAAATGCAACAACTTTTTTAATTTCCTTAAATTTGCAAATTCTGCCTTAAGAGTTCCAACAAAAATCTTATCACAAATTTTTTGTTGCCTTGAACTGTAACTATGAATGAAAGCAATGCTTTTTGTCAACATTCAGGTGTGTCAAGTCATCCTAAGATGGTTAAAAACTGTAATATTAGTAAGTTATTTTAAAAAACTTCTAAACTTACTCCTGTGTAATAGAGCTAAAATCTAAACTGGTGTTGAGGTGCAGTAAAAAGGAGAATTTATGCTGTATACATAGAATTTTCCTGTTCCCTTATCATGTATGGTGCATCTATAAAATACACCATGCCACCTCTTTCTCTCCTCTCCTTAGAATTTATGCACAAATCATATCCATTCCTTACTATGTATTTTGCTCTGTAGCAGTATTTGGGTAGCAGTATTTGAAAATCTTTACAGCAAAAATAGTAAACACTAGAAGTGTTAAGTACTATACAACAGTGCTAAATACGGAAATTATTAATCTCCAAACCTTGAGCATAATTCTCACATCTTCAATCAATGCTCCTGTCCTACAAGACTGCACTACCTGAAAACATGCAGCAACAGCAGCTCTTCTGTGGTACTTCAGTAAACTCTGTCACAAAGAGAGCATGGAAATGTGGAGAAACAAGCATGAATAAAGAAGAAGATATTTTCCAAATATTCACAGTATTAATATGATATTTGCCAATATTTTCACAATATTATATTTTCCAAATATTCACTGTAGTATGTGGTATTGCTTCTGAGACATTTATTACTATGGTCTTTAAGTACAACTTCAGAGGGTTTGTTGATTTATTTTGGGGTAGGAGCTGAAAGTTGGAACTTGGAGGCAGACTTTTTTCAAGTTTTGCTGTGGTAATTAACTTATTCCACTATAAAACAGAATTATTGGACACGTCTAAATAATTTAGTTTTTTCATTTCTTTGGTACTTAAAGAGATGATAAAACAAAACCAGAAAGAGACAGACTTAGATGTCACATACAAAAGGATCAGTTTTAGAAAGCAAACTAAAGGAGACAAAACTTCTATACCCTGTTTGTACTATATTTGTTAATAACAACTTGGATAAGGAAATAATCTTTTGGGATACAGCCGATCAACAAAAGGATGCAGATTTAAACTACTTGTAAAAATGCTGAACTAACCACTTTTCACAGATATAAGAATTACCAATTCTTCAAAATAGAAATTTAAACTAAACCATAAGTATAATCAAGGATCTGTAGTGGTTTCTTCCCTAGTAAGCCAGCCTCCTCTCCAAGTTTCCAGCATAACAAATTACTCATATGTCCATGCTGCCACACACTCAGACCACAGACAATCAAGTGGAAAAAGGCTTTGGGAACTCTGAGAATCTGAGCACTGCCTCTCACTAAGTGGCATCCACCACCAAGCGGTTCACCTAAAACCAACACCTCCTTAAAAACCAGCCTTTACCACAGCTCCAGCTCACATACATAGGACTACACAGCCAAGAAGCCAGTACTTGCAAGAGAGTATTTGCTTTGTGTTAAACTGGGAGCATTCTTGAAGCATTTATAGCTGTTTGCAAATGTTAGTTTGTACTGATGCAGGTCAAAGCTTTTTTTTTTTTTGCACAAAGAAATCACAGACATTTATAGAAAATAATTAATGATCTTTGTGTTTGTAATTGCCAATTTGTTTTGGCTAAATTTTAGAGTGATTCCAGAACAAAAAACACCGAGCCTTGGTTTTCCAACATACTAAACTG